GAAGCCAGGCACACCTGTGCCCACCTAACACAGAACTAACCGATAGGATCTAGTTCAAGAATGCTGGAATGTAAATGCACAGTTAAATTAGCTGTGGTCAGGGGCCTACAGAATAGGCTAAATATTTTGAAAAATTCAAGCCTCCTTACAATAACAGAGAATGTAAGAACTACTAAGCTAATATCAAATTTGACTTGCAACTCCTGAATTTATTCTTCTTGGATTAAGCAAAAGATCTGCACTTATTTGGCAAATAATGCTGCCTTATAACATCCTTGAATTGTGGAAAAAAATCTATTATTTCCAAACAAATGATTCAAGCACTTCTGAAACTGTACAAAGCACAAAAGGAAGATATTACAGGACTCTCACTTTTTGAGACTTTTCAGCTTCATCTTTAAAGTGACCTGTATGAAACAGCTTCATCTTCAAATGGTTCTATTCTCCCCATAAACACAATGCTTCACTTAGTTTTTCTCAGGACTCTAGTCGTAGAGACCATATTATTAAAGATGAAAAAGTACAACTATATTGTACTTTTTGACAAATGTGACCTATTCATATTAAACAACCTATAAGAAGCTAAGATGATATAATAGGTTTTTGTTTCTTTGTGGTAATGGAGATTCAACCCAGAGATGTTCTACCACTGAACTACATTTCCAGCCCTTTTAAAATTTGTATCTTGAGATACGGTCTCACTCAGTTGCCCAGGCTGCCTCAGCCTCCAGAGTAGCAACCATGTAATGTTTATGTGAAATCCAATCTACTTTTAGAAGGTAAATGTTTCCTCGAAATCTGAAATCAAGTAAACAATTACAATCAATTAACCTCTGGCAGTTGAGAGTTTTAAAAGTTCTAACTGTTTATGGTTTCTGGACTAACAACTTCTATGAGTTTATGTTTAAAGTGGAAACTGGCTAATAGTGCCATACCCAACATCTGACAAAAAAAGAAAACTCGATCAATGACTGATTCATTTTATATCTGAAAGCAGATATAAAAACCTATGGTCTCTCTCCTTGACTGCCTATCCTCTAGATTCAAAACACAAATTCTAACCAACTTGAAAAAAGGGCAGTTGGACCTCTGTGTCTTTGTTTTTGCATGATCTATTCCCTTACTACTAATCTATATCCATATAAAATTACAACCTTCAAAAAACAATGGAGTAGGAGTTGGGGGTATAACAAAATGGCAGAGTCCATGCTTAGCATGAATGAGGCCCTGGGTTTAATCCTTGGCACCCGCCCCTCACCACCACCAAAGGCAATGGAGTAGAGGGTGAGGGTGAGTTAAGGAAGTATACTGCCTTCTGAATAATGAAAATAAACTTTAAAAACAAACCAACAAAACAAACAAACCAACAAAAACCAAGCTAGGATAAGTTTTTCACAAATTATTTCAATTCTTCTACCTTTACCCACCATGCTGGGGATCAAATCCAGGGTCTCATGCATGCTAGGCAAGCACTCTACCACTGAGTTATACTCCAGCCTCATGAGGCTATGAAGGAAAAAAACAAGACCGTATCCTTTTGTAGTCCAGCAAAGTTACTTTGGACAAAAATCCTTCCAAATGTTGGAAATATTTATACCCAAAGGATACTCCATATATCTTAGGTAGCAATTCCATCAACACTCAAATCAATAAAAACAAGAATAAGAGCAACTCTAAGCAAATGAACAACGAAGATGTAAAACAGGTGCTGAGTCTTCATGGCTTTCCTCACTCAAAGTTGGAGAAAAAGATATAAATAAAAATAGGCCTAAGGAATATATTTCTGAATAAGAAAAGGGAACATCAGCTTCAAATGAGGCAAATGGTCACATACAGATATTAAAAGGATATTTTCAAAATATTGCCCATCATACTCTACAAAATGCAAGACATATGTGTGAAATAGGAAACAAAAAACCATAAAGAATATACAGGGTGTGTTAAGAAAGTATATTGATTACATAAGGGGGAGAAAGCGAGTAACAAAAAAATGTAAATAACAGAATCAAAATTCACATGAACTGCAAGTAAATAGCAGAAAATATATAGAAGATAAACAACATTTTAAAGATCCAGAAGAAAGGGCCAATCATATTAAATGCAGCATAAAATGTCAGGAAGCCAAGATATCAGAGATTGAAGTTAGGAACCAAAGAGGAAAATCAATAATAAAAAGGGGGAAAAAACAGTAAATTAGGTATGATCACACATTTTCAGAATAAAAAATAGAGACACTCACACATAGATGTAACCTGGTAAAATTTGACAGGTTGTTTATTCCTTTGGCCATGGATTCTCAGATACACTAAATGCTAGAAAAATCAAAGGTGTGTATGTGTGTATGTTAGAGAGACAGGGAAGGAGGCAGGGGTGAGAGAAAGAGAGATAGAGAGAGACACAGAGAAAGAGATACCTGGGAAACAGAACAGGTTATAACACAAAAATCTTACAGAGAGTGCTGTCTTTTTCATGAAAGGGTAAAGGAAAGAATTTCCCAGCTCTATAAGGGCACAGAGAATTTAACACTGACATAGCTTTCCTGAAAAAAATAATTACTTAAAAGTGTAATAATTTAGTCAATTAATAGATGAAACAAAAAGACAAAGGCCATGTTAAAAAAAAAAAAAAAATGAAAGCAACATTGGACGTGGTGACACAAGCCTATAATCCCAGTGGCTAAGGAGGCTGAAGCAGGAGGATTTTGAGTTCAAAGCCAGCATCAGCGCCGGGATATTGCTCAGTTGGTAAAGTGCTTGCCTCCCCTGCACAAGGCCTTGGGTTCAATCCCAGCATGCCCCGCCCCCCGCCCAAAAAAAAAAGCCAGCCTCAGCAATGTCGAGGCACTAAGCAACTTAGTGAGACCCCCCCCCACCCACCGCTTTTTTTCTTGGTACTGGGGATTGAACTTAGGGATACTCGACTGCTGAGCCATATCCCCAGCCCAATTTTTTATTTAGAGACAGGGTCTCAACTGAGTTGCTTAGCACCTCACTTTTGCTGAGGCTGGCTTTGAACATGTGATCTTCCTGAGCCTTGCAAGCCCCTGGGATTATAGGCATGTGCCACCATGCCCGGCTGAGACCCTGTCTCTAAATAAAATACAAAATAGGGCTGGGGATGTGGCTCAGTGGATGTGTGCCACTGAGTTCAATTCCTGGTACCAAAAAAAAAAAAGTAGCAACAATGAACTGTAAACCTATTTCTGTAAATTTGAACATAAAATTTCCCACAAATGTAAGAAATTATTCTCATATAAAATAATAATAATAACAGAATTTATTAATAAAGAGCATATTTATGGTTTGGATCAATGCTAAGTCTTACAGAAAACAAAGTAGAAATAAGCTATTTTACCCTATATTTTGATTAATTATAGAAATAAAAAATAAAAATAAAAATCTTTCGAAAGGCAGACAACTAGTGTCATTTTAAATCATTTTTATTATTAAACATCCTTTTATTCAGACAAAATGACACTCCAAAGCCCAATAAAAACAATTGATCAAAGTAAGGCTGCTGATTCCCACCCTAACATGTCATAGTCCATTGAGACAGTTAGAAATTACCACATTAGTACAAATAAAGGTCAAACCTATTCATTCTAAATCACTGGAAAGATGAAAATGCTAGCCAATTTCATTTATAAATCAGTAATAGTTGTGTATATGTTATGAATGGCTCAAACAATTACTGAAGGGCTGGGCATGGTGGTACACACCTGTAATACCAGAGGCTTGGGAGACCAAGGCAGGAGAATCGCAAGTTTGAGGTCAGCTTTGGCAATTTAGTGAGACCCTGTCTCAAAATAAGAAATAAAAGGGAGGGCTGGGACAGAGGACATGGCTCAGTGGTAGAGAGCCTCTGGGCTCAATCTCCTATTACACACATACACACACACACACACACACACACACACTATCTGAAGTAAATGTACAAAATGTGTATCCTAGTTAATCATTCTGTATTCTCTATTACAAAAAAAAAATTATAAAAGGAAAACAATAAACATTTTATTCTTTTTGTTGGCGGGGGGACAGTACCAGGGATTGAACTCAGGGATACTTGAACCCCTAAGACATATCCCCAGCCCTATTTTGTATTTTATTTAGGGTCTTAATGAGTTGCTTAACACCTCGCTTTTGCTGGGGCTGGCTTTGAATTTGTGATATTCCTGCCTCAGCCTCAAACCGCTTACAGGTGTGCGCCACTGTGCCCAGCAAACATTTTACTCTTAAAAAAAAACAAACTGTGGGTCAATAATGCCAAGCTGCATATTCAGAATATATTTTGAAAATATCATGGTACATCTTCCAAAGGTAAATTTCAGACTAGGTGTTTAAAAGTAAATTTCAGACTAGGTGTTTCTTTTGTATGCACAAAAAATTTTTAGATGACAAGGTTATTGAAAGACACAAAATAAAAACTGCACTGAAAAAATCCTTGTTAATTTAGTTTTCTAAATTAAAGAATAAAATAATTTCCCTAAAATGTGAAAACATACTTAGTCCCACAGTTTTGGATGAAATATAACATTCCACATATCTAATTCTCTAAATAAAAATATTAAAATATACAACATAAGATTTCCACTGTAAAGACTGTTGAGAAAGTATGTATGATCCTGGTTCCCACTTAGATTCCCTCAGATTAAAGAAAAGTAACTTAATTATCTGGCTTTAGTAATTATTTCCGTGCTATGCACATAATCCAAACATATATAACAGTACTTGTTATAAAATTTCTTACATTTTAATACTTACTCTTAATAAATCATCTATTCTTCCTTCTTTCTTCTCTAAGTCAGAATTCTTACTATTTTCTAGTGCAGATATTTTTTCTATTGTGAGGTCAGACTACAAAGACAAAGGCAATAGAAATTTAGGATCAGTCTCAAAATAATACATGTCAACACATTTGACTCATTACTTTTCTGCAAAAAAGTATCTGCTTACAAAAATGGCCTGGAATCATGTGGCTCAGGATATTAAATTCACTTTCCTCATCCCAATCTTCAAATCTTAACTATGGGTTCCTAAAATCTCACTACACCAGCATGTCAAAACTCAAGCTAATTCTGGAATCAAATATGAAAATTCTCAAAACTACTGTGCATTGAATAAAATAGAACTGCAGTACTCTAAAAATGAAATGAATTGAATAAAAAGACTCAAGGGCTGGAGTTGTGGCTCAGCAGTGGAGCGCTCCTCTAACACGTGTGAGGCCCTGGGTTTGAACCTCAGCACCACATAAAAATAAAGGTATTGTGTTCAACAACAAGTAAAATAAAATATTAAAAAAAAAGGACTCAAAGGGCAACTTGACCAAAAATCTCTAAGGAACAAACATGCCATCTAGTGGAAATAGGGAGCAATCAGAAGGGGAAAAGTCTATTTAACCATCTAGATGCTGGTGGTTCAAATAAAATTAAATTCCACAGGGTCACATAAGTTTTAAGATAAGAAATTCTAGATTGCTAGGCTTCCTGTCTTGAAAGCAACAGAGTGCCAAAAGAGGCTGCAAGAACACCCAATATACTACTGGTTAACTCAACACTAGAAAGGGAGGATATATCTATTATACTTTTCAGATACAATTGTTAAATGTTCACAACATTCCCTAAATTCTGAAGACTGTTTATCGAGGAAATTATACTGGTATAGCACAACTTAAGTTTAGCTCGGTCTTGCAAGGGAAGTAAAGGAATACATAAATTGACTAGTTCCAGAAAGTAGGTAATTATATTTATCAAAAGTATACTGTAAGCACTTTCCTAATAAGCATTTTGTAAACATTGTCTGAGGTAATAAGGATCAACCACATTTTACAGATAATTTCTTCTAAAAGAAGCTGAGGCCCAAGAAGACAAAGTATAAGCGGCAGAACCAGAATTGGAACCCAAGCCTAGAGACCTCAAAGTGCATACTCTTTCCATGCTGAAGTAAAACCATTTCTGCTACAATACACCAGAAAGGTAAAGAAAAGCCTCAAACAGCTATTGCACATTTTACAAAAACTTTAAATACTCATAATGCAAATTCTGAATATAATGCACACAAAAGAGATACAGTCAAAGATATAAGGGGAAGATCAAGTGAGGAATCACAGATTTTCTACATGTTTAGGTTTACTCCTAAGCAGAACTTCTCCACTGTTTATCAACCCCCAACGTACCTGGGTCTGTCTGTGCTGGATGGAGATCTGTTTTTGGGAGCTGCAGGAATGCTCTGTGTTGCCAGATCCTGTGGAAGAGGGACTGTTTTGCTGAGCCTATAATAAAGGTATATCACCAATCACAGAAAGGCTTGGCAGCTTTCTCCACAAACATTTTTATGAATACAAACAATTACTTCTATATAAAATAAATCCTATCTGATAAAAGTCAGAAGTCAGGGGTGCTGGGGTTGTGGCTCAGAGGCAGAGCACTTGCCTCACACAGGTGAGGCACTGGGTTCAATCCTTAGCACCACATAAAAATAAATCAACAAAATAAAAGATTTAAAAAAAAAGAAGTAGTCAGGGCCACAAGGTTAAGGTGAAAGCAAAACAAGTTGAATGAGATACAAGGGCTAGATATGGTAGCTTAAGACTATATTCCTATAAACAGGTTTTATTTTTATTTAATTAATTTATCTTTGAAGCCTGGGTCTCTCACATGGTAGGCAAGCACCCTACTACTGAGCTATACCCCAAACCTTCTAAATACGATTCAAAGTATCAAATACTTACAAATGAATTTTTTAAATGTTTAAGTTACAGAAATGGACAGTTCCTTCATGAGCGCTCTCTTGTCCAGCGAGGACGTCCACAGAACAGGGTAGAGGAGACTGTGGCTGCAAAGTCGCTAATCAAGACCTCCAGAGAACCAAGCAGGAAGCAGGTCTGATTTTATTGCGCAGTTACCATGTATATATACTCAGCCAGTAGCTAAGCAGATTACAGGCAGCCACCAATGCAATTTCTGCTAAGTGTCCTTGCAGTGAACAATTGAGAAGTGGGCCATGGAACAAGCGCAGGGACTACATAACACATGGCCTCACGCCCAGGGCTGTGCCTACGGGGTATGCAGCCTGCCACTCATGTGCCTAGCATGAGGGGAGTGGCCTGCCACTCAGATGCCCTTGACATATGCCACGCATACAGTACTCCATGCACTTGTCCCCACATTCCTCCAATAATTATTTGCTTTTTTCACTTATGTTTCAACATGTCTTTATCAGAAAAGGCAAGTGAAACATCCAATGCATAGGGGATACACATGAGTACAGACAGAAAGGACTACAAACTGTTATTCAGAAAACTCTCTAAATACACCAATATTATCCATAAACACTATGTGTATAAAACTTTAGGCTAATCTCCAATATTCTCACTGCTAACTGAACATTCTAAAGCATCTTTATTATTTATTTATTGTAGCACTAGGGATCAAACCCAAGAATCTCAGTCATGCTAGGCAAACACTCTACCACTGAAATATAATCCTGTTATGGCTGTAATCCCAGTGACCCTGGAGGCTGAGGCAGGACGATTTTGAGACCAACCTCAGCAATTTAGTGAGATCCTGCCTCAAAGCAAACAAACAAACAAATAAATAAATAAATATAAATAAATAAAAAGCGCTGGTGTGTGGGGCTCAGTGGTTAAGTTTTTGAATTACTGCTCTTACTCATTATTATATTAATAGTAATATAACCATTTATTGAGTAATAAGTATACGCTACATGCTTCAAAGTCATTGTCACATGTAATCCTTACAAAGTATTATAAGGAATTTTTTATTATTTCCATTTTACAGATAAAGAATATACAAATCAGGGCTGAGGTTGTGGCTCAGTGGTAGAGTGCTCATCTAGCACATTTGAGGCCCTGGGTTTGATCCTCAGCACCACATAACAACAAACAAAATAAAGGTATTGTGTCCAACTACAACTAAAAAATAAATAGTAAAAAAAAAAAAAAAAGAATATACAAATCAGCTGAGCACTGTGGTACATGCTCTTAATTCCAGCTACTCAGGAGAATGAGATAGGAGGATCATGACTTGAAGACCAGCATACACAACTTTAGCAAGACCCTGTTTCAAATTAAAATCGGCTAGGGATGTAGTTCAGTAGTAGAACCTGCCTAGCATGTGCAAAGCCCCAGCTTTAATCCCTAGTATCACCCAGAAAAACAAAAAACTACATATATACAACATTAATAAATATATCGATATATTATTAATAACTATCAATTATTAAATAATTAAATGTATTGATAAATATTAATATTTACATATAACTATGTAAGATCACAGAGCTAGTAAGTGGGGGAACTAGAATTGGAGGCTGTCTGCATCCACAATAACTGCTCTTAATCACCAGAGCAAACTATTACAGCTAGGTGGTAAGTAAGCTAATGAGTTCCTACACATTATTTCATGGAAGTATCACTACAGTCTTTTAAGGAGGGCAGTATAACTAACTCAATTTTTATTTCTTCATTCACTGACTATTTATAGAGTAGTCCCTTTATCTAAGCACTGTGTTGGGTTCTTGTGACACATGGCTGAAGAAGATGAACATAAACCATTGATCCTTATTTTGCCTTAATGAAACTTAAAAATGAAGAGAAGATTTAATGAATACTCAAATATGGGTGCAAAGAAACTGTTGAAAGAACAATTGTAACAAATGCAAAATTACAATTAGGAGAAGTACTTTAACACCACACAATAGGATATGAAAGCTAATCTAGAATAAAGGGGTTGACTTGAAAAAGTTAAAGATCTGAAGGTAATCAGAGTTAAAGACAGGAGATGATTGAATCATTCCAGGTAAAGAACATGGAAGAAGATGCTAGGAAAAGAGAAAAGACTGATATAGGGTTCAGAGAAGGTAAAAGAGAGGAACTCACCTCAAAGAGGCTGTTAAACAACTTGTGCAGCCAGTAAATGTCAGAATTGTGATTAAAAGCCAGGTCTATGTGATTCCAAACAACTGAAAATTATCTGTACCCTTTCTAAACTTCAGCAAAACCAACTGTTTCTTACTGATTAGGAGTCATCATTAAGAACCTTAAGTATTACACTGCACTATAATACAAGTATTGTCTCCTTCGGTTATCATTAGATTGCTTCTTGCAATCTTTTATTTTCATATTTGTTTTTAAATAAATTTGACTGAACTAAAGGGCTCTTCTATAAATTTATAGATTTTGATAGGGAGACTTTGCTAAAATGCTCATTTTCTAAGTTTTCTTCCAGCAAACTGATAGTACTAAAATATGATTTAGTGGGATACTTCTAAAATCTTTCTGTAAAAATACATATGATAAGAAGTGTAAAAGTTAACTGAGGAAGTGGGCTACAGTTGTTAGGAAAGCAAATGTAAATGAAAATAATGTTTTTAAAAGGTAAAAGGTATATACAAATATAAAATCCTAATGTGACAACATGAGCCCATAATGGGGAAAATGCTCTAATTTTGAGCACTTGTTTTATATTAATTGTGGACCTCTATGCCAAGTCCTGTGTTAAACACCAGAAATGCAAAACTGAAAAACAATAGCTTCCACTTTCCCACAAAGTCAAATTTCAGAATAATGTCCTAGGACAATGATAACACAATCTGCCCAGTTAGCCTGGTGCCACTGCAGCTATGAATTAAGCAGAGTTTTCCAATACTCTATTAGGCTTTCCAGAGAAAACAAAAGAAAAGAATGAGACAGTAAAATAAAATTTTTCTAAGATAAAAAGGGAAAATTTCAGAGTAAAACATCTACTACATGGTAAGCACTATTAATGGGAAAATAAAATGGTGGGTAGACTTCAGAGACAAAAAGATACCTTGATTTAAATAAATGTAGAAAAAGCATTCAAGACTCTTTCATGTTAAAAACATTTAACAAACTCAGACTAAAGGAAACTTAACCCCCCAAAAGGGCCATCTTTGAAAAATACACAATGAACATCATACTTATTTTCAAAGACTTCATGCTTGTGCTAAGAGCTGAAACAAGGCAAGACTGTCTACTCTCATAACTTATATTCAATGATGTACTTGAGTTCTAGCCAAGACAATTAAGCAAGAAAACAAAATAAAAGCACCCAGAATGGAAAGCATGTAAAACTGACTATTTTCAGATGAAACAATTTTATATGCAAAAAATCCTTTTAAAAAAACTATCAGAATTAACATATAGACTTCAGCAAGATTGCAGCATACAAGATCAACATTTAAAAAACTATGTGGGCAGGGATATAGCTCAGTTGATAAAGTGCTTGCTTCACATGCACAAGACCCTGGCACGCACGCGCGCGCACGCACACGCACACACACACACACACTCACAGACTGTATTTCTATCCTCTTAACAATCACCAATCTGAAAATTAAATTAAATGGATACTATTAAAATACAAGTAATCAAGAAGGATACTTAACAAAAGAAGTGCAAAATCTAGATGTTTAAAACTGTAAAACATGCCACCTATGATAATCCACACCTGTAATCCCAGAGACTGAGGAGGCTGGAGCAAGAGGATCACAAGTTTAAAACCAGCCTGGGCAACTAAGAATCTGCCTCAAAACAAAAACTCAAAAAATGGCCAAGAATGTAGCTCAAGTAAAGTCCTTGCCTAGCATGCATTAGCTCTGGGTTCAACTCCAGTTACTAGGAAAGGGGGCGAGGGGTGGGAGTATTGGTGAGAATGTAGAGAAATTGGAATATACTGCTGATCAAAATATAAAATGGTCCAGCTATTGTGAAAAACAGTTTGGTAGTTCTTCAAAAATACACCACATGACCAACAATTTCACTCTTCAGCATATTAAAAAAAGAAAGAAAGCAAACAAACATATCTAAACAAAAACCTGTACATGAATGTTCATAGTAATATTATTTATAATAATCTAAGTGTGAAATAATTCAAAGGTCCACCAACTGATGAAAGGATAAATAAAGCTAAGACCAGATGGGCACAAAAAGAATGATTATATTTACTTATGTACATCCATGAAAATCCATGAGGCCAGGACTTGGGATATAGCTCAGTGATACAACGCGTGCTTAGCATGTGCGAAGTCGTGGGTTCAATCCCCAGCACCAAGAAAAAAAAAAGAAGAGAAGAAAGAGAGAGGGAGGGAGGGAAGAAGAAAGAAAGAAAAAATCCATGAGGTCATAATGATATCAAAGAGGAAGCTATTTGTTACTATTTGATGAAGCCAATATTATAATCAACTCCCTATTTTAAAAATTAAAATTTTATTTTAAAAATTGAAATTGGTAATTAAAGGGGTTAAAAAGTAAGCATTTATCCTGCCTTTCTAGTAAAACTATGTCAATATAGTCTAAGAAGCAGAGATGATGAGAGGAAAGTTCTATTTCACATTAAAATAAACCCTAAATGAAGTATGGTGCTAGGCACAGTGGTGCATACCTATAATCCCAGCAACTCAGTAGGTTGAGGCAGAAAGATCCAAGTTCAAGATCTGCCTGGGCAACTTAGAAGGCCCTAAGCAATTTAGTGATACCCTGTCTTAAATTTTTAAAAAATTTAAAAAGGGGTTGGGGATGTAGCTCAGTTGTAAAATGCCCCTGGGTCCAATCCCCAGTACCAAAGCAAATAAACAAACAAAAAAATCTTTAAAAAAAAAAAAGTTAGTTTAAATATATAATAATAAATCTCAAAAAAGTATGATAATGTTAATTTGGGTATATAGAAAAAGGTAACTATTTTGTAGAAAATGCCTGTTAAATTATTTAGAGGGGAAGTCAAAAATTCTGAAATTATATACATCAGCATAAATAAAGCTAACTACATTGTTATTATCATTAGTAGTAGTAGTGGTAGTAGTAGTAGTAGTTTTTAAATTCAGTTTTGGGGGCTGCAGTTGTAGCTCAGTGGTAGAGTGCTTGCCCAGCATGTGAGAGGCCCTGGGTTTGATTCTTGTGTGTGTGTGGGGGGTGAGTGGGAGGTTTCAAACTTTCAATTACATCTGAATAATATTAAATGATACAGCTTTTAAGGAAATAATAGGCCTGGCATTAAAGGGGGAAAAAGAAAAGAAAAAGATCTAGTAGACCTTGACAAATTATTTCATTTAATAAAAACTAATTCGATGACTATGACTGTTTTCTTCTCAAAGAGTTCAATAAAATCATTTGGTTTTGCAATGCCCAATAATGAAACATAATAATAATTATAAAAGTTCCTCAATCACTTTCAGGTCTTTTAGAATAATTTTCAGAATAGAAAAAGACTCAGTTATAGGTAAAATAATAAACTAAATATCACACACTTAGTAACAATGACTAAAAACGTGAAAGATACCAAAGGAAGGCTAGGTAAACATTATGAGTATGTTAAGCTTATCTTTCATATGGGGAGTAAATAGATCTTGTTTAAAATTGATTAAATAAGAGATATACTATTTGAAGTTAAAATGGTAATCAATAGAAAAATCTAAACAACAAAATGTCAGTAATGGTTCTCTCTCCAAGGAGTACAGAGCAAGGATTTTCACTCGTTCCCCATTGATTTAAAAAACAAATTTCCTATGTTACATAATTTTATATATTAAAAGATCAAATTCCTACTATTCTATCACCTACTATTTTTCTCAGCACATTTAGAGATATTTCATTTTTAGCATATACACAGCTATTTCACTTTTTTGTCAATTATATAGCATTCCACCGTATAAATGTATTATAATTTATGTAACAACCCCATCTATGAAAAGTGCTTTTATTAATTCATGCAACATATAATTACATTGAATTCCTTTCAGAGCAAATCCCATTCAGGGCATTGGAGATACCGAAATGAACAGAGCAAAGTCTTTGACCTGTGGAGCTTATGTTCAAGAGTAACACCCAAAGAAGTACATTATAAGAATGTTAGCTGGTGATAAGACTAAGAAGAAAAACAAAGCAGGGCATTAGAGCTAGATACTAGGTGAGGCAGTCAGAGAGGAACTGTTATTTCATACAGTCTAGTCAGACCAAGAATACTGAGCGAGTAGGAGGCATGCTAATATCTAGGGCAACAATGTTACGGCAACAGTGAGTATAAAGGTCCTGAGGTAAGAGCACTGCTGGTAGCATCTGAATAAAAAGGGAGCCAGTGTGAATGAAACTTGATAGTTACAAGAGATGAGGACATGGAGGACAAACCACATAGGGGCATTTTAAAGACCTTTTGGAAAGTAGAGTGGCAGGCTTGGACTTAAAGTTTCAATAAAATCACCATGTTTTGTCACAAAGAGATTAAAAGGGAAATCAAGGTGGAAGCAAGGAGTCCAATTAGAAGGCCAAAATTTCAGAGGGAGACCTGGTTTAGAATGGAGGCAATAGTTGGTGGGGGTAAGGTGGGAGTAGAACTCTAAACACAATCTGAAGATTTATTGATAGCTTTGAATTTGGGGTATAATAAAAAGAGAAGATAAGAGAGAGATAAGAATGACTCCAAGAGTCTTAGTCTGAAAAAGAAGAAGAGTTGACAATATTGAGATGTGGAATGCTGTGGGGAAAAAAAGGTTTTGAGTGGAAGAACAGAATGGAGTTCAGTTTGGGATATGTTAAATTTGATATGCTTGTTAGAAAGAGGAGATGACTAGAAGCAACTGACTATATAGGGCTGGAATTCAGGGCAGAGATGTGACTACAAGCATACACATAGGAACCCTCTGCACATAGGTGATAGGCATTAGTAAACAAAGAAACGAGATGAAAATAAATAGAAAATTAAGGAGAATAAAAAGGAACACTGAGTCCTGGAACATGCCAATGTTGAGAGGTTCTGGGAGAAGGGAACAATTCACCTACAGCTAATGAAAAATGCTGGATGAATTCTGAGAAATGATCACTGGGTTTAGTAACATAGAGATTACATCCTCTAAAACACTTATCGAGGAAAACTGCTTCCAATTTTTGTAATTACAAATATCTCAACAAAAATCTTTGTAGTTTCATGGGAATGGAATTTCTGGACCCAAGGATATATAAACTTAACAAAATGACTATTCTAATTAATTTCTAGTTAGTATAAAACTACCCATCTCCATTATTATCACCTACATTGAGAATTATCAAATTTATTAATCCTTGACAATTTGATAGTTCATGAACGTTATCTTGTGTTATTTGGAATTTCTTTTATGGCCTAAGTTGAGCTCCCCCCCCAAGATTAGTTGTTTGGCTTTTTCTTTCCTTTAAAGCTGCCATTGCAGTGGTGACTTCAGTTCTGAAAGACACTCCTAATAATGGAATGATAGGGCAATGGAGCATTCTCTTACTTTATACCACCCTTATACCTGATGGGGCAGAGAAACCAAGGGAAATAATAGCTTTTGATTCCAATTGCATTATAACTTGGCAAATTAAAATGAAGTCAAGCTTTTATAATACTTGAATTCTTGTTCTTCAAAAAGGGAGAAATAAGTAAGTTGAACAAACAGACAGCTGAATATTCCTGGAAAAAATAAGTATATGAACACTCCAAAGGGGTTAGAAGACAAGTTTGTAAGAGCCCTGCCTACATATTGAACTGTACTGACTTGAATTGGTTTATATAAGTGATGGCTGAAGTTTAGAAAATTTATTTTTAATTATACAAATATTCTGGTTGTAAAGAATTAACCTGCATTTTCTTTGCTTTTTTGTCAATCTAAGATTATACATTCCTTCCCACTCAGTGCTCAGACTTCAACAAAGCAGCTGCTTTCAGGAGCCTGAACCAGGAGGGACTGAATAAAAGCACAATAACTCTAGAAGGGATAGAGAATGAAAAATATCCCCATCTCTACTAAAATAATTAACCCAACTTCATCAAGAAGCCCCAGGACAATGACAAGCATCTGAATAAATTGAGCCTTAGTACTCACTGAAACGAAAGTAAAGCAGAGGCCAGCACCCCTTTGTGCTAACTGTTCTGTGTCAAGCCGAGGTTTTGCTAGCATCACTGACATGAGGGTTGGCAGAGCAGATTGTTCCTCTGGTGCCTCCTTTGCAGCACTGCCATCTAAACCATAGAGGGGCTGCTCTACTCGCCGCTGGAAAACATTAAAGAAAATACATAACATAGATGAGAAAGAAAATCTGATAGTGCCAAATTATTCAACACGTTAAAATATAGTTAGAAAATATAAGATGAATGAATTAAAAGAAAACAAACTTCTCAGGAAAACAATTATAGCAAGGATAACAACATTATCACTGGGTTATTACCTATCTATAAACCTGACTTAATATCTTACTCAAATTTTGTTCAATGACATTTTAAAGGTTCTATGTTTATATAACTCTGAACTTGGAGATTACTTTGTAGAGATTGATAAATGAACTTCATAATACTCTATCCTATACAAGGTATGTTATTTCCATCCTGTAGGTAAATAAAGAATTAAGACAACCATCCCATGACTTTATAAACCGGACTTACTTCACTCTTCTCTTTTCTATACCTTACATGCATTCTCTTTTCTATACCCCTTACATGCAAAAAAATCTAAAATACATGCAAACAAAACAACCATAATACACTAAAATAATAATAAATCATAATTATGGTTTATTCCAGAAATATAAGAATGGTTAAATAAAAGAAAATCTACTAATGTAATCCATTACAATGTTAGGGGAAGAAAATTATGATTTTCCCTTTGGATGTCAAAAAGATTTGCATATTTTTGGTCAACTTTTAAAAAACCAAGGTACCCAATTTTAATACCTGAAAGAGTACTTTTTCAAAAATCAGTAGAAAATGTAATTAATGATGCTACACTAGAGACCCCTTTAACTAAAATTAGGAGCCAGGCAGGGGTGACACATTAATTCATTCAACATTGTTACAGAAGTTTTAGCCAAGATAATGATGAGGAATAAAATTGGGAGAATAGTCAAAAGTGTCATTTTTGGATGATATAAATATTCACAAAGAAAACCAAGCAAATCAACTGAAAAACTGCTACAATAAACAAGCAAGTTCAGTAAGATGGCCGCACACAAAATAAGTGTACAAAACCTAGTAGACTCCCCCAGATACCAACAATAATTAATTATAATCAGAGCATATAATGGAAGAAAAAGCAGATTCAAAATAGTGAAAAAATTGGTCTGGGAGATGGGGTGCACACCTGTAATCCCAGCAATCTGAGAGGATGAGGCAGGAAGACTGCAACTTTAAGGCTAGCCTCAGCAAGCTAGCAAGGTCTAAGCAACTTAGCCTCAAAAGAAAAAAAGGAAAGACTGGGGAGGTGACTCAGTGGTTAAATGCCCCTAGTACCTAAAAAGGAAAAGAAACAAAAAAAGGGCTGGGGATACAACTCAGTGGTAGAGTGCTTGCCTGGCATGCATGAGGCCCTGAATTTGCATGTAAATAAACAAAATAAGTAAATAAATTTTAAATATAAATAAAATAGCAGGAAAAAAATCTATAAAATACTAAAACAAGTTATACATGGAGTATAATTTCCCACAAGAATGGGAAGTTATACTCCATGTATGTATAATATGTCAAAAATACATTATACTGTCAAGTGTAGCTAAAAAGAACAAATAAAAACTTTGAAAAAAGAAATTAAAAAAGCAAAAGCAATTATTTAAAACAAAAAATAAAAAAGAAATATGAAGGACAGCCAAGCGCACACAATATCACATGCCTGTAATCCCAGCGACTCAAGAGGTTGAGGCCAGCCTGGGCAATGTAGCAAGACCCTGTCTCAAAATGAAAAATAAAAAAGGGATGGGGATGTAGTTCAGTGGTAGAGCATTATAAGGTTCAATACTCAATCCTGGGGTGAGGGGAGGAGGAGGAAGAAATATGAAGAATACATGTGAAGAAGACTACATAGCTTTACAGATGAATATAAAAGATTATGTAAATTAAATGGTGATTTCATGTTCTGGAATTCAAATTGTCTAGATAGCAAATTTCACCAAAAACCACTATTTACAAGGTTTATTTATTTTGTTTTGGGCCTTTCAAAGAGGAAGAGTTATGGTAGAATAGTGGTCATATAAGTTCACTTTTCATGTTTGTTCTGGTGGAATTTAACAAATTAATTTTGAGATTCACTTGAAAAAATGGTGAAAATTAGCCACATAATTTTTGATAAAGAATACCAGGGACACTTGACTAGATATCAAAACATACTATAAAGTTACATTAAGTATAAGAACAGACAGACTGACCAGTGGCACAGAAAAGAGAATTCAGAAACAGATTCATATAATATGGATATGTTATTTGTGACTAGAGTACATTTCACATTATTGGGTATTTATTAAAAAGATGATGGGATATTTGTAAAGTATTAAGAAAAAAGGGTAAAGTAGATTCCTACCTTATATGTAAAATTCATAAGAAAACATTAAAAAAAAAGTACTTTTATACCTTTTTACTGGTAAAGGACATTTAAAATATGACATGAAAAATATAAAACATATAGGAATACCTATGAATAACACAAAACCCATAAAGTCATAAATGAAAAACATTGACAAATTTGATTTCTTCAAATTTCTATACTCCTAAATGTTAAGTATCAACATAAATTTATAAGACAAGATTACAAATAGGCAAAAAAATATTTATGATATAAATGATGAATTAGCAACAACCCCCTCTCCTCACGCCGTACTGGGGATCAAGCCCAGGACCTTGACATGCTAGGGAAATGATCTACCACTGAGCTTATCAATCTTTTTTTTTTTTTTAATTTTTTATTGTGGGTTGTTCAAAACATTACAAATTTCTTGACATATCATATTCCACACTTTGATTCAAGTGGGTTATGAACTCCCACCTTCACCCCATACACAGATTGCAGAATCACATCAGTTACACATCCATTGATTTACAAATTGCCATACTAGTGTCTGTTGTGCTCCACTACCTTTCCCATCCTCCACCCTGAGCTTATCAATCTTAATAACATGCTTCTATTCATCATTAAGAAAAAAAAATATTCCAATAGAGAAACAGGAAAAGGACCTAAACAAGAATTAAAAGAAAAATAGAAAAAGCCATTCCACATATGGAAACGTATTTAATATCACTAGTGAAGAAATGCAGTTAAAATAAGGTATTTTTGTCATTGGCAGACATTATAATGACAAAATCAGTATTAGTGTATGCAGAAATTGGTAATCTTAAACTGCAATAACCTTCTAGCAATTTACATGGTGACTTTTTAAAATAACATACTTGGGAATTGCAATCAAAGAAATTTACCTGAAGAAAAAAAGATGCATAAAGTATGTACAAAGACATTCTTTACAACGCTATTTATAGAATACACAGATGTTTACAGGATATTGGTTAAATAAAATAACACAATGAAAATGAGGAAAATTATAATGTAAACATACATGTACACAACCAGCAAAGGTCTAGAAACACTTTGCCTCACTGGACTCTTCTTTAGAAACCGTTCTTTTGGAAGGTGCCTTCTATTATACCACTTTGAAATAAGAATTGCCAAATTTTTATAGTCTACCTATACTTCATCAGGAAAAGCTATTTAACATTTTCACTGTAGGCAATAAAAGTAAAACAAGCCAATCACATGATTCTGACAAAGGAGTTTAGTTTTTCAATCTACAAATAAAGTCCTCTTCAAGATTAATGTTTCTACTATACCAAAAGTAACAGCCTAAATTCAGGTTCCAGAATACTTATGATACCCATTTATCACAGTGTACGCTCACTACTTAGGTAAATGTATATATCTCTGAAGCCATGATACTAAAATAAATCATTCTGCCATATATTCAATGAATGTCTGCTAAAGTCTAAAAAATGTTAAAAATTTTCTGTAAATATAGGCAGGCTAAGATGTCTAAACCAATTTTCTTTTCGAAAGCAACTATAAAGAGAGGATAAAATATTTTGAAAGGACATTAAAAGCACTTAAGATTTGACAAAATATAAGGAATCTGCCAGGGAAACAAATCTAAGGAAAATTAGGAACAGAAGACAAGTAAAAAATCACCAAAGTCATATGTGGCCCTAAAGGCACCTGCAAATATTGAATTTCCATGTCTAGGGCACTGTGGTGCCCAGCAGACAGGTCTATCAACAAGAAACCCTTTCCAGTTCAAGCTGGGTGGGTCTCCAATACAGCTGGACTGCACTCTCAGTAAAAGGGTAAACCAGAGGAAAATTTCTCCCACCCTGGAGGTGGGCAAGAAGTTGCCTTGACAGTGCAGGGGTCCGGAGTTCCCCTGAAAAATGCTAAGATAATACAAATCAATATTTCTTAATGGTTGAGACAAAAAAGAAAATAAACCAATCAAACAAAATACAAGCCATAAACTCAGTAAAGTAGTATTAGAGAGGTAAAAATCTCTAAGCACTAGAAAGATGCCAATAAAAATTCTCCCTGTGAACCCACACTCATCCTAGACTTTGAAGAAACCGCACAAATAATTTTTCAAGAACAATGAGGAGCACACTGCTAGAAAACAAAACACAAAAGAAACAAAGTCATAAGCAATAACTAAGCAAAGCAAGAAATAGCAGGAATGGATTCATAAATAATTTACATACCAGAATTATCTGACAGAGATTATAAAATAGCCACCTGTACAAGCTTTAGAAAAAATAAAGAGGGTGACACAGGGCATGGTGGTGCATGCCTGTAATCCCAGCAACTTAACTCCAGCAGAAGGATCACAAATTCAAGGTCAGCATTGGCATCTCAGGAAGATGTGTCTCTCTTTTTTTTTTTTTTGTGGTGTTGGGGATTGAACCCAGGGCCTTGTGGGTTCAATCAACTGAGGTCATACCAACTGAGCTACAGCTCCAGCCCTCAAATTTTTAAAAAATTAAAAGGGATAGGGATGTAGCACAGTGGTATACTTCTAGCTGCAATCCCCAGTACTACAAATATAAATAAATACAGGTATAATTTTTTAGGGGTGGGGGATGGTTAATGGGGATTGAACTCAGGGACACTTGCCCAATGAGCCCATCCTCAGCCCTATTTTGTATTTTATTTAGAAACAGGGTCTCACTGAGTTGCTTAACACCTCGCTTTTGCTGAGGTTG